AGTCAATCCTACAAGGCATCATGCAAAAAAGGCGAGCGCAAGATTCAAAAGCATCAACGACAATAACTCGGAATCCTTGTGCAATCACGGGACTTTCTGCCGTGAACCAAAGCAGCCAGCCGACAGGCCAGCAATTTTTGTTGGCGCCGTGTCAACTCACTGTAGCAGCTGCTCTTCGCCAACAACTTCTGGCACAGCAACAGCAGTCGAGCTGATATCTGTTGTTTTTTGATGAAATCGATGGTGTGTTGTATCCAGCGTTTCTTGACACCACCCTGAAAGCGCTCTCGCCCCCTTTCCGTCTTTCCCGCAGGCCTGGGCTCTTCATCGAGGAACATGTCCAGGCTAGTTACTTGAACCCGCATGTTCTCCACCAGCTCAAATGCGAGTTCGACCCTTTTGCTGGCAGCGGACAAAGACGAGTGCATAAAAACCATAAACGCACGCTTGCGACGCTGTGGTAGGAAATGCTTCGAATCGATGATGTGGCATGTGCCTGAATACCCCTGGCCGGCCATTTGCGCCAATCTTAGATGAGCTTGCCAGCGGTCACTACAAAACCCGTTTCTACGGAGGCTTGCGTCATGTGCGCGCACAGTCTCAGCCTAAAAAGCCAAGCAGCATCACATCCCAGGGACGCTGTCCAGCATCCACAGCTCGTCTATGCAGCACTGCTTCCACATTTTCGAGGAGTATCAAAAGCGGCTGCCACTTCCCGACCAAGTCGGCTAGTGTAAAGAAAACATCCCCGCTGCGTGACCCAGCCCCACGTTCAAAAGCAGGCGCTTTGTGCCTCAAGCAGGACAAATCCTGGCACGGGAAGCCGCAAATCACGATATCGGGTGGTACCACAGCTTCATACCTTTGAGTTTTGAAGCAAAATGCACGGTCGGCTTCTAAAGAAGCTATATCTCCATACAAATGCGCAATTTCGGGCTGCAAGGTCTGTGCCAGCAACACCTTCCGCTTGCACACATCAAGCTCGCAAGCGCTGTACACCAACTCCGGCATCCGAAATCGGTCCCATACCTTGGCTTGTGCGAGACAGGTACGATCTTACGACGAGCCTTGGTTGCTGGAAAACTCGCATGTCGCGCACGCCCATCCTGGTCGGGGGACAGTGCCTACGCACCATGATGGGGCCCAAGTCTGCACTGCTGGGCCCCGAGCTTTCGGAACACTCCCCCTATGCTGCACCACAGCTGGGAGGCTATTTGCTTACACGGGGCTAAGGTCAGGGGCTATTTGCTTACGCACCATGCTGGGCGCCGAGCTTTGCAAGGCGTGGAACACACCTGTCCCCCACCACTACCCCCCCCCAACAACAACACGAAAGAGGCAGCGGTGGGGACTTCGGCGGCTAGGGGATCTGGTCCCTCGATGCTGCAGAGCCACTCCCATCAGAGCGTCGAGAACTATGTGGGCTACATCCAAGCCGGCGCACAGACTCATGATGCGTAGGGTCTTCCGTCCTCTCCAGGCAAGTAACTTGCACTGTGGCTCCTGCAGCAATCGGCGGAGCATCTGATGTAGATGGTCGGCCAGCACATAGTCCGACATGACGGGCCGCTCACTGCGCTATACCCCTGCAGTGAAGGACCCCCCCCCCCGGCACCAACTAAAAAATATTATGGAACTGGCTGCTGCTTGTGGGTCACTCCTACTGGTCTCTGCTACATATCAGCAATGCACGGTCGCGTTGCCCGCCTTGCCCGGCCCCCTTGACGACAGCGATCGGCACAGGGTTAAGCACGAAGCAAAGCATGAAGCAAAGCATGCATGTGCATCGTGACTCTGCTGCCGAGGGAACCTCTGCCGAGGCTACAAACTCACGATTGAAACCTTTCCGCTTTTTTCCCTCGCAGAACCAAGACCGCACGCATGAGCGAAGCGAGTCACGGGCTGTTCCTGTGTCTCTCTGCTGCGGCACCCCCGAACTTGTGCACTAGTGTTGCATGTGTTATAACTGTGTTCATGAAAACACACGAAAGCTGCTGCGTTTCGGTTGCAAGACTGTTGCAAGCAAACCGGCTGTACAGTCCACAGCGCAAAATGTCCCAAGATGTTGCTGGAAGGGATACCTCCTTCATGCGTTTCGGTCCGTGGGCATGCTTGACAGCAAGGCCACTACAGCAGCAACACTCATAGCAGAGGATCGGGGCTCTACAGAAAGCTTCGAAGCTCTAAACGTCGAGCAGGGTCATCAACGTGCTGCTGACCTGCTGTCGGCCCACGAACTCGTGGAAACATGGACTTACAAACTTGAAACACGCGTAGCGCAGACTTTTCTGCCTTCGCCGCGACCCATGCGCTGATTGTTAGTCACAGCTTTCGCCTGCCAGCGCAACCTGTAGATTTCCTGGCAAAACTCCAGTCTCAAGGGCGCAGAATAGGCTAGCATGACTCTTGTGGCGAAAGCTGTCATCCCCAAGGTGAATGTCCTCGGGACATTCACACACTGCGAACCGCCGGACAAGAACTACAACGTCATGGTGACACACTTCACAGAAACAAAGCGGACACCAGTCAGCGTGAGGCGTTTCCCGGCATGGATTTTCTTCTTCTTGCCCTTGTTTTCCAAGGCCAAATCTGAATTTGACAGGTCCTGGGCGGCAACTTCAAAGAAGGCTTCCACCCCGCCAAGGGCAGCAAAGAGCTCTACCAGATGGCGGTCTGACTGCTGCGGCTCCCACACGGCATTCGCTGTTTCCTTGTCTTTTGCCTTGAAGCTACCGTTCTTGTAGCTTGAGTAGTCGATTGAGACAACCGGCACCTCCACAAATTGCTTGATCACATCGGAAAGCTTCTGCACCCTGCCAGCGTAGAATACCTTTGTCCCCTTGTCCGGGTTCCAAGTAAGAATGCTGTTGTCATCTTCACGGCCCTCTGTCCTTACTTTGGGCGGCTGCAGTGGGGAGTGCAGTGGGAAGGTTGGGGGTAGGCTGGTGTGGAGGTGGTGGGCGAAGGGATGGGCCGTGTTATGGTGAAACTTGGGGAGTGGCGGGCGTTGCAGCCCGAGGCTCCCAGCAGAGAAGGTTCCACTGTCTGCCTGCAGGTAGTACATCATCTCTCCTGCAGAGAGGCGCTTTCTCCGCGAGCAGCTTTTGAGCATGAGGCCGCCTTCGCCGTTCACATTGGTCGTCTTCAACAACTTCCACCCGCTTGTCTCCCGAATGACATCAGCACTCTGAGACACATCATCAAGAGGGGGCTTTTCTTCCTTGGATTCTGTGGCCATGTCGTCCTGCATGATCAGATCCCGGCGCTCTTCATCGCATAGGTCTAACCCCCCCATCCCTGGCACAGAAGCTTCCCCTCCGACCCCCTCCATGAAGAACTCCTTCAGCTCAGCTTCAAGGTCCGAGGCGGTCTCCTCTTCTCCTCTTGCATGGTCCTGCTTCGTCTGTTTCCCAGGACGCATCGCCTCCGATTGCAAGCAGGGTCTTTTCCGGAGCTGCCTGGCCTGCTCATCTACCCCCCTCGGATCTACTTCCCCCGCAGCTTGTGCCGGTGACACCGGCTGGGCTGCTGGCTGGGCTGCTGCCTGGGCTGCTGGCTTGGCTGCTGTAGACTTGGCTTTGGCGGCTGCTTTTGCTTTTGGCATGCCGGCTTTCACAGGCTTTGGCTTGGGAGCACTCGGCCAAAGGAGTTCATCACCCTCGTCAACAGCGGAAGTACAAACAAACTTGGCGAAGACATCGCCATCCTCTCGAAGAAGGTCCACGTTGCTCCTGCTGGAAGCCCTCCTCAGGGATGGATGACCTCAGGAACGGCCATAAGTCTGAGCAAGATGCTGTCAAGGCGTAACGCTTCGCACGTCCAATCCCGTCCAGCTGTGGGTGGATGATGGTGACTACATCCTCTGCTGGAGCACTGTCGTCGCTCAGAAGTTGCCAGCGCCTTGCAAAGCACGGTCTGTTCATGACACATCAGGTAAGCAAGTGCGCTGCACTGCATACACATAATCACGAAACCCTAACCCTAAACCCTAAACCCTAAACCCTAAACCCTAAACCCTAAACCCTAAACCCTAAACCCTAAACCCTAAACCCTAAACCCTAAACCCCTAAACCCTAAACCCTAAACCCTAAGCCCTAAAACCCTAAACCCTAAACCCTAAACCCTAAACCCTAAACCCTAAACCCTAAACCCTAAACCCTAAACCCTAAACCCCTAAACCCTAAACCCTAAACCCTAAGCCCTAAGCCCTAAGCCCTAAACCCTAAACCCTAAACCCTAAACCCTAAACCCTAAACCCTAAACCCTCAAGGCCAGGATAAATAGAAATTGTAGGTGTTTCATTGCGTGCAATAATCCTTCATCCTTCACAATGCAAAAAAAATTAGACCCTCTGCGTGATCCCGAACCCCAGCCCCAGCCAGTCCAGCCCACCCAGCCCCACCCACCTGGCCTCCAAGCCTCCCTCCAGCCCCAGGCCTCAGCCCCTCCAGGCCCCTTCAAGCTCCAGCCCCTCCAGCCCCTCAGCCCTTCAGCCCCTCAGCCCCTCCAGCCCCTCCAGCCCCTCCACCCCCGCCAGCCCCTCCAGCCCCCTCCAGCCCCTCTAGCCCCTCCAGCCCGCCCCTCCAGCCCCAGCCCTCTCCAGCCCCCCCGGCCCCTCCAGCCCCTCCAGCCCGCCCCTCCAGCCTGCCTCTCCAGCCAGCCTCCAGGCCCTCCAGCCCCTCCAGCCCCTCGCCGCCAATGTCCAGCCCACACCCAACACCCCAGCCCCAGCCCATCCCAGCTCTACAAGCCCCAGCACCCCCAGCCCCCAGCAAAAGCAAAAACAAAAAACCCTGCAAAACCCCCCAAAACCAGGCAAAACCCCCCAAACCCGGCAAAACCCCCCAAAACTCTGGACAGATACAATTCCTATAAACCCTAAACCCTAAACCCTAAACCCTAAACCCTAAACCCGAAACCCTAAACGTTCGACTGTGTCGCCTTGCTAGCAGCAGTTTGCATGCAGTTTGCCTGTGTGGCCTTGCTTGCTGCAGAGGCGCTGAGGCAACACCATGATCACATCACCCTTTTCGAACTTACGCATGGCAAACAGACCCTTTTCGTTTGGAACCGCCAGGCTGTTGGCCAGGCAAACGTCATGCCGGATGCATGCCTGGCTCTGGGCCAGGCATGCGGGCAGGAACATGTTGGGACTCATCTCCGAGCTGCTGGTTTGCCCGGCGCTGCTGGGCTTGGCGTTGCTAGCTTCGAGGATAATGTGGTTCTGGTAATCTGCCTTGCCGGTGGACACAGCCATTGCCGCAAGGATTTCCGGCACTTCTGGAGTGGTGGGCAGCTGGGCAGCAATCGTGTCCAGCGCAAAGTCGCTGTCCGTTTTGATGAGGATGCGTTTCTGCAACTTCGATTTTTCCAGCGCCTCCAAGCTGTTCCGCAAGTCTGCGTTGTCAGATATGCACTTGAGGGGAGCTGGCAGCAAAAGCCGGGCCAAATTGAGAGCAAAACGCCCCCGCATGTCCAGCACCGCCAACATCTTCCCGGCACGCAAAACATTCAAGCCCTCGAGAAGCTCAAGGACTTGCTTCTCCTCCTCCGCAGCAGTTAGGTTCAGAGCCTTGCGCAGGGCCCTGAACCGAAAGGTCAGCAAAAACCCCATCACTTACACACACACTATCGAGGCCGGGGCGCCCCCGTTCTCATGGCTGTGGAGGAAAGCAACATTTTTAGCAGCTCTGAAGCTTGTTCTGCAACATCTTGCTTCTCGTGGTTCAATAACACTACGGCGGAGGAGAGGGCGCCAAGCTGCTTCAACTGCAGCGGCAGCTTGGTTGCTGCGGTCTTCATCATTGTTTCCGCGATGATGAGTTCTGCCTTCCGAGCTTCGGGATGCCATGCCGGAGGTAAGCAAACCACAACACAGCCCTTGGGCTCCGAGGCAGCCACCAGGCTTGTCAAGAGATCCACCGTGAGATCCCGTGTTGCGGCAGATGTAACCACAACGCAAACGGAGTCACCTTCAGAAGACCCCAGCGTCGCCACGCTGGAGCTTGGCACTGCAGAGAGGATGCTGCCCTTCTGCCGAGATAGCGCCTGCTGGAGGCCATCGAGCTTTCTAGCGGTCAACTGCGTCATGTCCGCATCACGCCGTTCCATGAGTGCTTTCATCTTCAAGAAGTAAGCTTTCAAATCGGCTTTGTACGCCTGCATGCCTGCTAGGAGCAGGGCGCCCACATCATCCTTCTGAGATTCTTTTCGCTTGAAGACCGCGCATGCCTCTCGAGCAGCTTCCTCAGCAGCTTGGATATGCATGTTCTGCTGGTTCAGATTCGCCGCAGCCACGCACTTTCGGACGAAGGACCATGCTGGAGCCGCAACCTCTGGTTGCGTGGTGTGCATGATAATGTTGTCCAGGATTCCAGTCTGAAAGTCCTGGTAGACCTCAGCAAAATCTATCCCAGGATACTTGGATTTAACCGCATCCATGCCGACCCGGAATTTGTGGCTCACAATCTTCATCTTGCAGCGGTTCTCCACACTCAGCTCCTGCAGAGAACTAGAAAGCACACGCAGCAAGCAGTCCGGCAAAGAACGCTTGCCCCACTGTTGCTGCAATCTAACAGTCCTCCATTCTCTGCACACTCGACAAGCTTTTTTTGCACTCCAACTTGAGAGGCGGATCTTTGCGCGCAGCGCACGTCACCATGGTAGACAGCCTTGGTGTTGGTAGGCAAGCAAGAAGGGGCGCAGTTTCCCAACTAATGTTCTCATCTGTGGAGCAGGACAAGGCCGAGGCACCAGCGACCCACCATGAGACACCAATCCTCCGGACACTGAACAGAATCAGCTGCTCGCTGGCGGTGGAGGGCAGGCAGCAAGAACTTCGAGTCACGGATCCAGTTGAGTGGGAAGGGTGCGCCGGAAACATTCTTCTCGATCATCCAGGCCTCAAGGAGATCCACACCGTCGGATGGAACTCGAGGAATCACCTTCAGGTACAGCACACGAGGAGTCGTGTGGAGAGAAAACTGACTTTCAGCCTTCAGGACGCCTTAAACCCAAGAAACCCGTGGTCGAGATGTCGAGACTCTTGCACATGTATATACAAGGCACCATCATGATGGCGCAACCTGGCCTTTTCGAGGCTAGTCCACTCGAACATGCGCGTGCTCTCCTTGTACTTCGATGTAACCGCCCGGCCCAGCGCTGCCCCATCTTGCTCGGCCCACAGCATCCGGGATGCCTTGAGGAGCTCCAACCATGACACCTCCAAAGCCTGTGATAGATTGAGGGTGCGGCCTACGCCGTCGGCCA